TGAACCAGAAAGCCTGCACTTCTAAGCAATCTGCGCCCTGAGCGAGAACACTTGCAGAGCTAAATCAGCGACCCCGCGACAAGCTCGCAACTGCGCGCGTGCACAAACTCACTCGCAAGCTTCGCGCGTGAAAAGTCATCGCCGCGAAGCCCAAAATTTTGGAAGGAGGGCAATGCGTTGCCACGGCTGCGAATCCGCCGATCCGGCGCGTGAGTTGAAGGGGGGGCTGGGCCGGGGCGGCTCTGCCGGGGTAGGGGGGGGGGGGGGGGTCCACAGATTGGGTTCGGTTGGTCGGGGTTCGGTTGGCCAAAACGGACCCAAACGTTGCCAAGAAGCCGAAAAGACGGGCCAAGACGTTTCTGGATCACCCAAAAATCGATCCAAGACGCCGAACATGAACCCAAGACGGCCCAAGAGGCCGCCAAGACGCCCCCAGAGGCCCCCAAGAGGTCCCACAAAAGGGCCCCGACCGGCCACAATCATCGATTTCCCTTCGGAAGCCTTACATTTTTAGCATGTTCGCCTCTTGGGCCTTCACCAGTGTCCAAAACGGCTCAAGGGGCCCTCAAAAAGGCTCCAAGACGGCCCAAGAAGGGCTTACGCAGGCCCAGGAGGCCCCCAAAACGGCGCAAGAGGGCTCCACGACGGGCCCAAGAGGCGCCCAAAAGGGCTCCAAGACGGCCCAAGAAGGGCCCAAGACGGTCCAGGAGGCCCCCAGGAGGCTCCAAGACGCCCCCAAGAGGCTCCAAACGGCCCCAACTAGCCCCCAAGGACTCCTCAAAGGCCCCCAAGAAGCTCAAAAGACAGCCCAACAGGCCGCCAAGACGCCCCCAGAGGCCCCCAAGAGGTCTCCCAAAAGGGCCCCGACCGGCCAACATTAGCGATTTCCCTTCGGAAACCCTACATTTTTAGCATGTTCGCCTCTTGGGCCTCCACCAGTGTCCAAAACGGCTCAAGGGGCCCTCAAAAAGGCTCCAAGACGGCCTAAGAAGGGATTACGCAGGCCCAGGAGGCCCCCAAAACGGCGCAAGAGGGCTCCACGACGGGCCCAAGAGGCGCCCAAAAGGGCTCCAAGACGGCCCAAGAAGGGCCCAAGACGGCCCAGGAGGCCCCCAGGAGGCACAAAACGCCCCAAAGAGGCCCCACAAGGCCCCAACTGGCCCCCAAGGACCCCCAAAGGCCCCCCACAAGCTCAAAAGCTGTCTCCAAGACGCCCCCAAGAGGCCTCCAAGATGCCTCCAAGGCGCCCCCTAAGAAGCTCGAGAAATGCCTCCAAGATGCTTGCAAGTCGCTTAGGTTTGAACAACAGCCTGTCAAAACATCATCGTCATCATCAACATCATTATCATCGTCATCATCATCATCATCATCATCCGGAGCGCCCCGGATCGGCGGCACTGGTCGGAGGCCATTTCAATAATTCGCCGGCCCAACAGGCCAGGGCGTGCTAAGATCTCCGGTGCCTGGTTAACAATATTTCTAGTTCGCGCGCGCGGGGCGGCCCCTGGGGGTCCCCGGACGAAAAGTACCCCGGCAAGGTCCCGGCAAGGTCGGGCCAGAGATGCCAGAGCCCTGCTACAGGGCCCCAGGACGGGCCAAGAGGTCCCCAAGAAGCCTCCAAGACGGTCCAAGAGGGCCCCGAGACGGCCAAAAATCGCCCGAAGACGCCCAACAGGGCCCCAAGACAGCCCAAGAGGCCTCCAAGACGCCCCAAGGGCCTTCCAAGAGGCCTTCGAAGAGGGCCCCAAGAGGCCAAAATCGTTGATTTTCATTGTTTTTTCTATGTTTTTTGCGTTCTGGTTTTTCGGCTTCCGGACGCTCCAAGACGGCCCAAGAGGCCCCCAAGACCGCTCCAAGACGGCCCACGAGGCTCCCAAGACGGCCCCGGAACGGCCCAGGAGGGCCCCCAAGACGGCCCAAGTGCCGCCCAAGACGGACCAAGAGGCCCCAAGACGGGCCCAAGAGGGGCTCAAGAGGGGAACCGAGAACTGAAAAATCGAGCCCTCCGCCCCAGAAGGCGCCCAGGAGGCCCCAAAAAGGCCCCAAGAGGCCCCCAAGAGGCCCCCAAGACGCCCCAAGAGGCGCCCAAGAGGCCCAAAAGAGGCCCCAAGAGGCCCCAAAACGGCCCCCAAGAGGCCCCAAAACTCGGCTAACCCACAACGGTGCGACAATATGGGCCGGCGGAATGAGCGAAGCGATTCAATAAAACATGGCCACGTAAACCTAATGGAACACCGGGATGCAATGCAATGAAATGCTAGGCAGAGTAGCTGCGCCGGCGGAAGAGCTAACTAAACAGGGGGCACCGTTGTAGCGGATTCTGCCCCAGTGCAAGAGAGATGGGAAAAAAGGGGGAGGGCGGCCGAAGGAAAGGGGGGGGAGAACGGGGGCCGCCCAAAGGGGCGGGTCACACCCGGAGCGCGCGGCGGCCCCGCCAGAAAGGTCTGCGGCGGCTGCTGCGCCGGGGCTTCAGCGGCGGTCCCAATCCGGTACCAGAACATATCCAGTGGGCCAACGGTGCGATGCAGCCAATGCCCGGGCCACAAGTGGGCGCGGCGTGCCCGGCAAGATGCTGGGCCGCGGGGGCGGCGCGCGGCGACGAGACCAAACCTGGGGCCCCGGCGCGGCGGCTGCAGCCGACCAGTTTGCGCGCCACGGCGGCGCGCGGAAGGAAGGAGAGCGAAAGGGGGCGGCGGGAACGGACAGGGAGGAGGGCGCCCCGCCTGCAGAAACCCACTGGCCAGGCTGCACGACCCGAGCGTGGAGGGCAAACTGGGGGAGACAGCGCTCTGCCTGCGCCCAGCGGGGGCTTCTGGGGGGTTCCTGCTGTCCGGGTGGACATGGCGAGTCCGCCGTGAGCGGGGCGGCCAGAGGTGCTGGAAGCCGGCGGCCGAGGGGCAGGGGCGGCCCGCCGAGCGGGGGCGAGGAAAACCCGGGTGGGCAGGGTGGGCCGACGGGGGACAAGGGCAGCCACCACCGTCAACGTAGACCGGGCGCGCCATGGTCAGCCAAGACAGCGGCTGAAAGCCAGCGCCCTCAGCAGTCCAGCGGGCAAGGGGGGGGCAGGCGGGGGGGGGGGCGCCAAGTAGGCGCGCGGCGGTAAAAGTGAAAGAAACGGCCCCCCTGCCAGGGTGGACAAGGTCGGACAGGGGCGGGCCGCGGGAGGGGCAGAGGCGACCACCGCCACCATGTAGACCGCAGCGGGCGCGCCTTAGAAAGTCGAGACTGCGGCCGAAGCCAGCGCCCCCGGCCCAAGCGGTCAGGGGGGGCGGGGAGGAGCATCTAACCGGTGCGCAACGACGGAAATATAAGAGGCTGCCCCCCTGCCTGGGTGGACAGGGTGGGCCGCGGCGGGGAGGACAAGGGTGGTCGCCGCCGTCAATGTGGACAGCGGCGGGCGCACCTTGGCGCGCAAACCTGCGGCCCGAATTCGCGCCCTCGGCCCGACTGGGCGAGGGGGGCCGGGGCCGAGCGCCACGCGGGGGTCAGCCAGGAAAGGCGCGCAGCGGAGGCGGCACGTCGCTGCAAGGCGCGAGCCGCGGGGCGGCAAGTGGGAGGGAGGGAGGGGCGGCGCGCAGTCGAGCCGAGCACCGCTGGGTAGGCGGGCGCGCGGCGGGAACCGCCGTAGGCTCAGGAGTGGACCGGAGCTGGGCGCAAGGCGCGCCGGCGGCGAGAGTGCCCGCAGGGCCAGCACAGGGCGCGCGCTGGGCGCGCCAGGCGGCCGGTGGGCACGCCAGCAAGTCTGAGACAGAACAGCCAATGAATTGAGCTATGATGCCACCTCGCGAAATGTTTCATCTGCTTCATCATTTGGGCGAGCAGGGTGCGCGACTCGGGGCGCCAGGTTTCGACGGCGCTCCTTTGCGCCATGTGCAAAGAGCAAGGGCGGATAGCGCTCAGGGCGACCTGGTGGCTTTCGGCGCGCGGCAAATGGGGCCCTTTGCTTCTGGGCCGATCGACAAACGCAGAGATCGACCCGCCATTGCCAGGGGCTGCCTAGCGCTGGAAAAAAACACGCCGGTTCCAATGGCAGCGTTCATCGAGGAGCACGTGGGCCCCCACGCATTGGACGATGACTTTGTCCTGGGAGCTTGGCTCACTCGGCTACGAACTGCCGACCGGCGGCGCGGCGCGACGGCTGTCCCTTCGGCGCGCAGGACGCCCGGAAAACGCGCCAGCAGGTGGCCGAGACCACATTGCCCATCGGCGGAGTGCTTGGCCAGATCAAAACGGAGCGGCGTGCATCTCAAAATTCTGCGGCCAACCGATTCTGCGTTTGCTCTGAAATGACGTTTCCGTGTCTACTGTTGCCATTCACTGCTGTCGACCCAGGGATGTTGTGCCCCCCCCCCAGTTGGGGTGCGCGCGACTATTGACGCTGAAGCATAAAACGGCGGGTCGAACTATTTTCGGCGCCACCAGAACAATTCTACCCGCGAGAAAATAAGACACCCGCATCATAGCTCGACTCCGCGCTGCAGATCGACAATGGACTCTCACGGTGGTGTCGGGCGTCCGCTGTCCAATGTCTGGTATCTGGTGTCCCGTGTCCCGCGTCCAGCGGTCGGCGTCTAAGGGGGTTCCGTTTTGAATGTCTGGTGTCTGGTGACCGGCGTTCGGTGTCCTGTGTCTGGCATCTGGTGTCCAGTGTCTGGGTGTCCTGGTACCCAATGTCGGGTGTCCTGCGTCCAGTGTCCGGCGTCCAATGTCCGCGTCCAATGTCTGGTAAGTCCTGTGTCCAATGTCTGGTGCCCAGTATCCGGGGTCCAGTGTCCGTGGTCCAGTGTCCTACGCGCGAGAATCGCTCTGTAGTGCTTGAAATACGAGGACGAACCTTCCTCAGTCCTCCTCCTCCTCCTCTTCCTCCTCTTCTGTCTTCCCTGATCCTCTCCCCTTCCCTCCTCCATTCCTCCCCCAGTTGCTTCCTCTCTTCCCCCACCGAGCGGCCCGCGCCGAACATCGACGACTGGCGCCCGCGGAGGCCGAGCCGAGAGGGGCGCATCACGCTGTCCGCGTACTCCTCGACGAGCGCGTGCCAGGGCCTGCGGGGCACGCCGCGCGCCGCAAGGCCCGCCCGCCCGCCCCCACGCCTCAGTTCGAGCCTCGAGCTGCGGTCGGGGGCGTCCAAGCCAGACAGGATCGCGTTAGGAAAAAACTAGGTCTCGCCTCGGGACCGTTAAGAGACGTCGCAGGACGAAAAACCACTCCTAGGGAAGGGTCGGGACTTCCAGGGAACCCGTAGGGAAGAAAATCCGGATGCGCATGTCTGAGAAGTGGGGTGCGTCCAAGAGGGGGGTTCGCAGGTCAGGGTCCGGGGTATATGCACGGACCAAAGAGGGGGGGGCCACGGGACGCATTCAAGAAAAAGGGCCATGAACTCTGGGGAGATCCCAAACATCCGGCGACTCGAAAAAATCGAGACGGAAATGTTTGCATCATTTTCGGCCTCTCGGGGCCCTTAATTACCAAGCCTCGGGACCGTCAAAAAACGACTCGGGATCACAAAAACAGGTCCCAGGGAAGTGATCGAGAGATCGGCCATCCCCCCCCCTCTTGGACGCCCCCGATGCGAGCAGGTCTGTCGCGGGCGACCGATGCCCGCCTCCACGTGCTGACATTGGCTTTGCTCTGAGCATCGAGGCTCGCAGCGCTCCGGGGGAATACGCAAAGAACTTGGACCGCCTTAGGCGCGGTGGCCTACGAATGAAACCCAGGTGTGCGCAGCAAGAAAAAGGGCCAGGTAAAAAGAGAAAAAGGAGCAGAGTAAAGGCCCGCGATAACGAGCCAACCGCCTTCACTCCCGCTCCTCCTCCTTTCTCTTCGGCAGGCCACCGGGCGCGCACACCCGAAGCGTAAGCCTCCTCCTCCTCCTCCTCCTCCTCCTCCTCGTCATCCTCCGCACGCTGCCCACACCCCAGGTCGTTACGGCGCGAGATGGGGTGAATCACATTTTCGCGGTGGGGGTGGGGGGAGGGGGGCAACCTGCCATCGCTCGGGCATCTATTCCCCGTGCATTTCGATGATTGAAGATGCTCCTCGCCGAGAACATGATCGACCCACGAACCCAGAAAAATAATATAGAAATGTGAGGCATGTCCACGTTATCAAGACGCCTGATTGGGCGACGGGCAATTGCAACACTGAATGTATCGATCTTGCTGTGTTGTGCCAAAGGTTGTGCTGTGCTGCGCCGTGCTGAATTGCGATCTGCCATGCCGCGATTGTGCTCTATAGTGTTGCGGATCGAGTCCTCCTTTGCATCCGAGTCCTGACGGAGCTGATCTGGATCTTAAGCTCGAACTGCCTGAACACATAGCAGCTGTCCCAGAGTTAGTTGAAGCGGAATCATGCGGGACGTTCGATCAACTCGACCGAAAAACCCAACTCAGCTCCGAAAAAGAACGACACGACACGGGGCACAAGCTCACGGACGCGCCACAAAATGTGCCAGGGGCGCAATAGGGGCTGCGCCAGAGGGCGCGTCAGGGGACGTATCAAGGGACGTGCCCTGGACGTGTCAGGGACCTGCCACGGGACGTGCCAAGGCGCGTGCCATGTGGCGGCCAAAGGACGTCATGCCAAGGGACGCTGCAGGGGGCGCGCCACGGAACGGTCAGGGGAAACGCCTGGGGACGAGCCAAGACACGCGTCAGAAAACGAGCCAGGGAACGTGTCACTCCGAGTGGCGCGCCAGGGGACATGCCAGGGCACGTCACGCCAAAACGTCGCAAGGGACGCGCCAGGGGACGTGCCAGCGCGCCAGGGGACGCCCCACGGACGGGCGGGGTTGGACTGCGACGCGCTGTACTGCGACAAGCGTTTTGCTCGAGACATCCTCAACAAATCCTCATGTTAGTTAGACACCCGCCTGGGTGACCTGGACACGTGAGAACAAGCGTATCGCTCGACACATCCTCAACGCATCCTCATGGTATACATCCGCCTGGGCAACCCGGACACGTGACACCACGCGTCTCTCTCGCTTGAGACGTTCTCGACACCGTCTCATGCTAGACATCTGCCTGGGCAACCTGGACACGTGAAAACATGCGTTTCGCTCGACGCATCATGCAACAATCGTCATGCTAGACATCCGCCTGGGCGACCTGGACACGTGAACACAAGCGGTTCGCTCGAGGCATCCTCAATACAGGCTCATGTAGGACATCCGCCTGGGCGACCTGGGCACAATAAAACAAGCGCGTCGCAAAAGACACTCTCAGCACAGTTTCATGCTAGACATCCGACTGGGCGAACTGGACACGTGCAACCAAGCGTCTCGCTTGATACATCCTCATCAACACCTCATGCTAAACATCCGCCTGGGCAACCTGGACACGTGAAAACAATCGTATCTCTTTCTCGCTTGATACGTTCTCAACACCTCCTAATGCTAGACATATGCATGGGTAGCCTGGACGCGTGACAACAAGCGTTTCGCTCGACGCATCATGCAAACATCCTCATGCTAGACATCCGCCTGGGCGACCTGGACACGTGAACACAATCGGTTCGCTCGAGACACCCTCAACGCAGTTTCATGTAGGAGATCCGCCTGGGCGGCCTGGGCACAAGAAAACAAACGTTTCGCTAGAGACGTTCTCAACGCATCCTCATGCTAGACATCCGATTGGGCGAACAGGACATGTAAAACCAAGCGTCTCGCTCGATACATCCTCAACAAAACCTCATGCTTGACGCCATCCGCCTGGGCGAACTGGACACGTGAAAGCAAGGTTACCGAGGAACCCCGCATACTTAATTTAAAGCTTATGCGTTTGCTTACGTAAAACATATATATATATATATGCACAATCCTGCGTTCTGAGCCCTCGTCGCGAATGTTCCCTATGGGTCATCCAACGCCAAATTGCTTGACCCTCCTCCCTCTTCCCAGCCTTCTATCCTCCATCGAGGCACTGCCTCCAGGCACTGCCTCCAGGCACTGCCTCCTCCTGCTATCGTCGTTCGTACCTGGATGCGGTAACTCGTTATACCTCATGTAAAGCGTTTCGGGCCACCAATTCTTCAGTTGACGGTGATAGGCATCGAATGCGCTTCTTATCAGAGGCCCCTCGCAGCCACGCAAGCCTTCCAGGCTTGCATCGTCGCCCATTTCATTCAGTGCGTTCTTCAGCTTCACGCGAGGAGGTGGCAGCTGTCAAATGTCAATGTTGGGCGGCATTGCTGCCGCGCGTAGGCCGGGCGGCTGTTGCCCGCAAGTTGGAGCACTGACAAACTTGCGTAAATGCGCAGTCGTGCCGCGCCGGCTTGAGCCGCGATGTTTACGGATCAGGGTAATACGCAAGCTCTCACGCGCAATGCGGTGGATAATCACTGCACCAAGAGATCACCCCCTGCGCTGGCCCTATCGTCCCGGGAGGGTGCCACGCCTGCTAAGCTTTGCGACAGCGTCGTGGGTGGCGGCCGCGCTCAGACCCCTGTGGTGTCGAGAAAGTGCCACGGCTGCAGAACTTTGCGCCAGTGTCGTGGATAGCGGCCGAGCTGAGAGACCACCCCCTGCGCACCCCCTTTGGTGTCGAGAAAGTGCCACGCCTGCTAGGCTTTGCGCCAGTGTCGTGGATGGCGGCCGAGCTGAGAGACCACCCCCTGCGCACCCCCTGTGGTGTCGCGAAAGTGCCACGCCTGCTAGGTTTTGCGACAGTGTCGTGGATAGCGGCCGAGCTGAGAGACCACCCCCTGCGCACCCCCTGTGGTGTCGAGAAAGTGCCACGCCTGCTAGGCTTTGCGCCAGTGTCGTGGATAGCGGCCGAGCTGAGAGACCACCCCCTGCGCACCCCCTGTGGTGTCGAGAAAGTGCCACGCCTGCTAGCTTTGCGCCAGTGTCGTGGATAGCGGCCGAGCTGAGAGACCACCCCCTGCGCACCCCCTGTGGTGTCGAGAAAGTGCCACGCCTGCTAGGCTTTGCGCCAGTGTCGTGGATAGCGGCCGAGCTGAGAGACCACCCCCTGCGCACCCCCTGTGGTGTCGAGAAAGTGCCACGCCTGCTAGGCTTTGCGCCAGTGTCGTGGATAGCGGCCGAGCTGAGAGACCACCCCCTGCGCACCCCCTGTTGGTGAGAGAAAGTGCCACGCCTGCTAGGTTTTGCGCCAGCGTCGTGGATAGCGGCCGAGCTGAGAGACCACCCCCTGCGCACCCCGTGTGGTGTCGAGAAAGTGCCACGCCTGCTAGGCTTTGCGCCAGTGTCGTGGATAGCGACCCGAGCTGAGAGACCCCCCTGCGCACCCCCTGTGGTGCCGAGAAAGTGCCACGCCTGCTAGGTTTGCGCCAGTGTCCGAGCACCCCCTGTGGTGTCGAGAGGTGCCACGCCTGCTAGGCTTTGCGCCAGTGTCGTGGATAGCGGCCGAGCTGAGAGACCACCCCCTGCGCACCCCCTGTGGTGTCGAGAAAGTGCCACGCCTGCTAGGCTTTGCGCCAGTGTCGTGGATAGCGGCCGAGCTGAGAGACCACCCCCTGCGCACCCCCTGTGGTGTCGAGAAAGTGCCACGCCTGCTAGGCTTTGCGCCAGTGTCGTGGATAGCGGCCGAGCTGAGAGACCACCCCCTGCGCACCCCCTGTGGTGTCGAGAAAGTGCCACGCCTGCTAGGCTTTGCGAAGTGTCGTGGAGCGAGAGACCACCCCCTGCTAGGCTTTGCGCGCCAGTGTCGTGGATAGCGGCCGAGCTGAGAGACCACCCCCTGCGCACCCCCTGTGGTGTCGAGAAAGTGCCACGCCTGCTAGGCTTTGCGCCAGTGTCGTGGATAGCGGCCGAGCTGAGAGACCACCCCCTGCGCACCCCCTGTGGTGTCGAGAAAGTGCCACGCCTGCTAGGCTTCGTGCGCCAGTGTCGTGGATAGCGGCCGAGCTGAGAGCTGACCACCCCCTGCGCACCCCCTGTGGTGTCGAGAAAGTGCCACGCCTGCTAGGCTTTGCGACAGTGTCGTGGATAGCGGCCGAGCTGAGAGACCACCCCCTGCGCACCCCCTGTGGTGTCGAGAAAGTGCCACGCCTGCTAGGCTTTGCGCCAGTGTCGTGGATAGCGGCCGAGCTGAGAGACCACCCCCTGCGCACCCCGTGTGGTGTCGAGAAAGTGCCACGCCTGCTAGCCTTTGCGCCAATGTCGTGGATAGCGGCCGAGCTGAGAGACCACCCCCTGCGCACCCCCTTGTGGTGTCGAGCAAGTGCCACGCCTGCTAGCCTTTTGCGCCAGTGTCGTGGATAGCGGCCGAGCTGAGAGACCGCCCCCTGCGCACCCCCTGTGGTGTCGAGAAAGTGCCGCGCCTGCTAGGCTTTGCGCCAGTGTCGTGGATAGCGGCCGAGCTGAGAGACCACCCCCTGCCCACCCCCTTGGGTGTCGAGAGGGTGCCACGCCTGCTAGGCTTTGCGCCAGTGTCGTGGACAGCGGCCGAACTGAGAGACCACCCCCTGCGCACCCCCTGTGGTGTCGAGAAAGTGCCACGCCTGCTAGGCGTTGCGCCTGCTAGGCGATGCGACAAGGCGTGGCGACAAGCGTTTCGCTCGAGACATCCTGCCCAAACCCTCATGCTAGACATCCGCCTGGGCGACCTGGACACGTGAAAACAAGCGTTTCGCTCAACACATCCTCAACACACTTTCATGCAGGACATCCGCCTGGGCGAAGTGGACACGTGAGAACAAGTGGTTCGCTCGAGGCATCCTCAACACATCTTCATGTTAGACGTCGGCCTGGGTGACCTGGGCACGTGAAAACAAGCGTTTCGAACGAGACTTTCTCAGCACCTCCTCATGCTAGACATTCGCCTGGGCGACGGGGACACGTGAAAGCAAACGCCTCGCTCGAGACATCTTCGACACATCTTCATGTCAGCCATTCGCCTTGGCGTCCTGGACACGTGAAAACAAGCATTTCGCTTAAGACACTCTCAACACGTCCTCATGCTAGACATCCGCCTGGGCAACCTGGACACGTCCAAACAAGCGTCTCGATCGACAATTCCTCAACACATCCTCATGCTAGACAAGCATTTCATTTGGGAGATCCTCTGAATTCTGGTCCCCGGGAGGGGACAGTCTATAATACAAAACAAGCGTTTCGTTCGAGGCATCCTTAACAATTTCTTACAAACAAGCGTCTCAATCGGGACATCCTCAACTTTCAATTCGCCGGCCCCACTCGACCTCGATATTTGTCGCAGATTGAATTCGCTGGCCCTACAGCCGTCGATTCCGGGAGCAAACCTGTAAAAGAGAACCCTGGGCCGGAGCCCCTTCCAGAAATCAATATGAAAACACGTGGATCCCTTTCGCCCCTGAGAGGGACAAGCGTGAAAAGACGTGGGTCCCTTTCGGAACAAGCGTGAAAACACGAGGCTTCAGTTCGGGACCACCATGTTAAACACCCCGCTTGGCGACCTGGGCAAGTGAAAACAAGCATTTCGCCACGAGGCCCGCCCCCGCTGGAGACATCCAGATATCTCCCAACTCTGCGAGACCAGCGTTTCGCCTGAGACATCCTCAACCAATTCATATAAACCATGCGTTTCGCTAGGGGCATCCTTAAAATTCAATTCCGCCGGCACTCTTCGACTTCGTCATTTATCGCAGAACAATTCCGCCGGCCTCCTTCAAGTCGAGGCCGGGGGGTAACCTCTAAAAGAGAACCCTGGGCCTACGCCGTTTCCGAGAAAAAATGCACACGTCCGAGCGATGCGAAGGCAAACGTGTTTCCCCAGCTTCTCGCGCCACTTTGGAGCCACTGTGGCCCTCTGGACCTCGTGAGGGGTGCTCCGGAGGCCAAATGGGCGTCCCTAGAGAAATTGGGGCCACCCTGGGGGCCAAAAGCCCTCCTGGCTTTCGAGGAGCATTCTTAGAAGCCTCCAGGTTCCTCTAAGGGAGCCCTGCTTCCAAGACCCTCACCCGCCTTTGTGAAAGACACCCCCTCCGTGAGGCGGGGCTTGATACACAACCACCGCTTGAGAGATCCATCGACATCCCTAGACCTCCACAGGCAGTGGGCACGGATTTATTTCCACCCAGGGCCCGACCATATCCATGTCCATCGCCTGCCGAGGTCCCCGAGGATCGATGCCCCAGAGGGTGGTTAACTATGGGCAACTCCCCGCCTCAGATCCTGTCACGACGCCGTGCGCGCCGCCAACCCTCTGTCTTCCTCCTACTCCTCCCCCTCCTCCTCCTTCTCGTGCAAGGCTGAGAACGGCCCGAAGGGCTGGCCAGCCTCCTCCTGCGGACAAGGCTGCGAATGCCTGGCGCCGTCAAGCTCGGCGGCTGCGGGCCAGCCTGACTCAGATGGGGCCGCCGAACCTCGGATGATGCCTCGGAGTAATTTTGGAGGGTCCCAAGTACACACAAAGTAATACAGCCAAATCCCAGGATTCTCCATGTTTTCTTATATTTTCTTGGTTTTCGTATTGCCCCCCGCTTCCAACACATCCCCATATCTTCTTGGAAATCGACGACTATTTGTGTCTGTGTGTTTCTTCCCCTCCTGAGTTGTGTGTCTCCGGGCGGGGGGGAGACTTGTGGTTGAGAGGGCAGGGGCCCGCAGGAGCCTCGAGGCTCGGCCAACGCTCCGCTTCCCCTCGCCCCGAACCCCCCTTGACGCTGGGCCACGTTCTGATGAGCAATAAACATGATCGACCCACGAAACCGGAAAAGAATATAGAAGGGCAATTGCAATGCAAAGTATCGATATTGACATGCCGTGCCAAGGGATGTGCTGTGCTGCGCCGTGCTGAATTGCGATGTGCCATGCCGCGATTGTGCTCTATAGCGGTGTGGATCGAGCCATCCTTTGCATCCGAATCCTGACCGAACTGATCTAGATCGTAAGCTCGAGCTGTCTGAGCACATAGTGGCTCCCCCAGAGCTACTTGACAAAGAGACATGCCAGGGGGACGCACCGCAGAACGTCCCAAGGGACGCGCCAGGAGACGTGCCAGGGGGACGCACCGCGGGACGTGCCAAAGGGACGCAATACAGATTGTGCCAGTGGACGTGCCACGGGACGCGCAAGGGGACGCGCCGCGCGACGTGCAAGGGGGACTCGCCACGGGACGCGCCACGGAACGTGCAAGGGAAAGTGCCAGGTCCCTGGGCTACGATCCCTCGCAATCTACGCTGTGTCGGCGCTCCCAGGACCGCGCTCCCTTGTGAATTACGCAGTGTCCGCGCCCCCAGGGCCACGATCCATCGTAAATGACGCTGGGTTCACGCCTCCAGGGCCAGAATCCCTCATCAATTACGCTGCGTCCGCGCTCCCAGGGCCAGGATCCTTCGCAAAGTACGCGGCATCCGCGCTCCCAGGGCCACGATCCTTTGTAACTAACAGTCCGACTGCACTCCCAGACCCACCTGGGCATCCTGGGGCGCGTAGGCCTTTCAAGCGCTGGAAAACAAGCGTTTCACCAAAGAAATCCTCATATATTGAGCACGCAGGGTGCGCCATCCTCGAGCGGGCACGCTAAAGCCAACCTTCCTTCTGCAAAACAAGCGCGGGGCTCGAGACATTCTCGCAATTCCTGCGCCGGGACGCGCCATCTTCGAGCGGGCAAGCAAAAAGTGTTGTTGTTAATACTTTCACAACGGCCCGTCGAAGAATTTAGGGTCTCCATATCTTGTTAAGTAGTGGGGATTCTGCGCAAAAAGCTCCGCACCCTTTTGAAAAGGAAGAAAGCGGGGGTCTGCGGACCCCGTTAGGCAACGAGGATCGAACATGGGGGGAACATTTTCCTCGCGCGGGCACGCGCGAAACGCATTTTGTTCCACGCCGAATGGGACTTCACCTCGTCATCTATCGCAACCACCTTCGCCGGCCCGTCTCAAGCCCCCGGGGGTAAAACCTCTAAACGAAAACCCTGGGCCGGAGCCCTCCCCGGCAAAAAACGTATTGGGAAACCCGTCGTTGTCTGCAGAGGCCCTCTCCCGATTTCGTCCGACCCGCAGGTGTGCCCCTTCATCCCCAAGCATTGAAACTCGCATTCGGAGAAGCAAACGATCCCTCCAACCTCCCTGTCACCCCTTCACTAAGGACATCGTGCTGCGTGGGTCTGCCAGCGTAAGACGAATGTGATCGTTTAGCCTTGCGGATTTCGCTGACCCCCGAGGACGCCTCCAGATCGATCTCGAGTGCCAGCGGCAGTGGTGCCCACACTTTACGGATCAATCAAACCACTGCGATCAAACCACCATCAATTAAACCACTGTGCTGCGCGAGGATCTCCCGCGAGCGAGGACTCTCCGTGAAAAGGTGCTGGCGGTCAAGCGTGGAGGAAGATGTGGCCTCCAACTCAGAGGGCGAACCTGTGTGGCATCGTTGACCTTGCTTTGGGCTGGGTTTCCCCCAGCCTGAGCCCTAGCCTCCTCCCTCTCCTCACCTGGCTTGGTGCCGTAGAACAGGCTGATCTATCCTCCTCCTTCTCCTCATCATCATCCATCCTCACCTGGCCTGACGCCGAGGAGCATGCCCTCAAGAGAAGGCTGGATTGTCCTCCTCATCTTCTGTCCCCTTTTCATCTCATCTGGCCTGGCACCGAAGGATAGTCCCTTGGCGCCCTTCTTGAAGGCGTCGCGGATCCTCTTCTCCAGCTTGCTCTCGTCGAGCTCGTTCTCCATGTGGAGGATGGGCTGCGCGAAACACAGAGACAAGAATGAAGCGGGGGCGGAGGAACATGTTTGAGTGCTCCTGAGTGCGCAAGTCAGCCAGAAACACACTGCTGCAAATGAACACGCGATTGAACCATGCAGGCGGCAAAGGTCCAGCAGCTGCATGGTCGACAACACCACCGGCAAGCCCCGGTGGCACCTAATACGGTGGGATGTGGCGATGCCTCGGCAACAATGCGCTACTCAAAGGTCACCGCTACAGCCGCTACAGCCTCGGCGCCTCTTCGGACGCATGGCCTCGCAAGCTGATGCACATCAGAGCTCCAGCGTGGGATACAGACGCTACAGCCTCGGCACCTCTTCGGACGCATGGCCTCGCAGGCTGATGCACATCAGAGCTCCAGCGTGTACTCGATCCACGAAAGCACCTGCCTCCAACACTCCTTGTGTCTCCTCCTGCATTCCCTGGCCGACTGGAAAACTCGCAGAGGTGGGCAATACCCTCCGCTCAAAGCATGAGCCGAGCGACCCTGCAAGCATTCCAAATCAGCGTCGGAATGGACGCCCTATGCCGTAAATTGAAGCTGTGAACAAATAAGAAGCGTGAGCAAGACTTCCATTAAGGACTCGTGCAATGCCGACGCTCTGAAAGGCGTCAAGCCTCGCAGCAGAACGCCCAGGGCTGACTGTTCGCCAGGTGAGATGCCCATCGACTGCAGAAGGACTCCTGGGCGCCTCACTCTGAAGGTCTCACAAAATGGGGTCCTAGTAGATCGGGTCGGAGGATCGCGCCCCATCGCCCATGCATAGGCGACGCATCGGCGACGTCGGTGATGCATCGGCGCCGTCGGCGCGGAGAACATCGGGCTCCACACTCCACACCGAGCCGCATCGCCGCTGCATCGGCGATGCTCCGTGACCCTCCTACACACGTCCACTCTCTGACCCAATCTGAGAGGCCTCTGGACCGCAACAGGACCCCCTAGGCGCCTCACTCGGCCCCTGCGTCCGCCGCGACGCCCTCGACCTGCGCGGAGGCATCCGAATTCTCCTGGCGCAGCAGCTCCTCGAGCCCTGGCGGAAGCGTCGGCACCGGCGCCTGCTCCCCGCGAGCCTGCGCGGCCTTGCTGTCTGCACCGGCCTGCAGGATCTGGTCCGCAGCAGTCGTCCAGCCGCGCTTCTGGCACTCCTTTCCAGGATCGGTCAGCATCGAACCGGAACATCGGGCCGGATCAGAAAGCGCGTCGGGTCGGGCCGCGGCACGGAGCTGGAATCGGATCGAATCAGCCGTGCCAAGATGCACAGAGGCGCCATGCGAGCATTGGGCCACATCGGATCGACCGAACATCAGAATCGAATCGGATCGAGCCGGCCGAACCTTATCTCGGATCGATCGGGTCGAGATGTATCCTGCCTTCCCCAGGTACACGTAGGTCTTGTCGCACGGGGACACATTCGCCTGAATCATGTCCCTGTACAGCGTGATGGCCTTCCCGATCTTTCGCATCCTGACGCAGCTCTGGATGGCATCGTGGTAGGCGAACTGATTGGGCCCGATGCCCGCCTCACGCATCGAATCGAAGAGGTCCACGGCCTCCTTCATCTTGCCGGTTGATGTGCAGGCCTTGATTAGAGCACCGTAGGTTTTGCCGTTTGGAACCAGCCCGTGCTCGGGCATCTTCTCAAACAGCTCCAGGGCCTGGTCGACCATGCCGAGATGCGAGCAAGCACACAACGCTGCGTTGTACGCCACGCGATCAAGCTTGACCCCTCGCTCCACCATCTCGTCGTAGAGCTTCAGCGTGCGCTCCGGGTCGGTCCGCTCGTGAGCAGCCATGATGCAGCGGTACGCTGTAGAGCTAAGACTGACGCCCCGCTCCCTCAGCTTCACGAACACCTCCAGTACATGGTCTGGGAGCTTGCTCTTCCATGCGCAGATGAGGCTATTCTGAATCGCGTTCGTCGGCACAACACCATGGGCCTGAATCACCTGGAGGAGCTGCAGCCCGGTCTCCCTCATGCGCTTCTCGTCCAGGTTCTCCGCCACGAGCCTGAAGAACTTGCTCACGGTGTGGCTATTCATCGGCACGTGGTCGCTGTCGTAGGGGACGCCCTTCTCGAGCATCTGCTTGTACAGGTCCAGGGCCACATCTGAATTGTTCAGCCTGTTGCACGCATCCATGATCTTCGAGTACGTCGAGGCATCGGGGGCTATACCCTCGTCCTTGGCCTGGCTGAGGATCTGCGTATCGACCTCCCGCTGCTCAGACGCCGTCATGGGCGACAGCTTCTTTATGGCCTCGTGACTCTCTCCTGCCAGGCTCCCCGCATCCCTGGGCATGCGAGGGGCACCAGTGGCACCCCGAGGGATCTGCGACGCCAAGCTCGCCACGGGTCGGACCGGCTGCCTGGCTTGAGGGTCGCAAGCCGTGGCCGGGACCTTGGGCGGGAGCACCTTCTTGGCTCCAGCCAACTTCGTGCTGGGTGCTCCAAGTGGTCGCGCAGTTGCGTTGGCAAAGCCGACGTAATAGGCGGCGGCCAGGAGCAGCAAGCTCAGGAGCTCGGTCTGGCAAGTAACCACGAGATCACCCAACACGGTGGCAAGCATCTCGCTCATGGTGAAGGGGATCGCAAGCACTATGATGCACATCAGAGGGCCGTGCTGAGAATCCTTGAGGGAGGAGATCTTCTCGAAAAGCGACTGCGCCATTGCGAAGTGTCTGGAGCGCTAGAGTGGGACAGGAACACGCGCAAGCGTGCCCAAAGAGAGAGATGAGTTACAACTTTCGGGGTGTTTGATTTGACTTGGTTGGGTGTTCCGCAATGCCTCGAGCCAACAAGGTTACAGACGTCTGAGACGGAGGGGCCCGACGAGGCAGAATTGGATGATGACTTTATTACTTTGCCAGTTGTGGCACTTGCGTGCTGTCCCTTGGTGAAACATGATCTTCGGCCCCAGGGAAAGGAGCAGGCCGCTGGCGGGAACAACTGGGCTGGGCAGGTCACATGGCAATCCGAAAAGGCAAATCCGAACAGCTGTGCAGAATCACCACCGCTTCAAAGCATCGGACCGCCCCGTGTGGCCCCTGAGAGGCATCCCTGTGAACTCTCGCATCCATCCCAAAGGATCCTGACCTGCACCCCAGGTACCACCTCCTTTTTCGTCTGCCTCCTCTTCCTGCTCTTCGTCGCCCTCCCCCCAATGAGCGCTCGCCTTCGCCCCGCGCGACGGCGTCAACAAATGCACCCCCCAGAACGCCCCCGCGCGGGCATCACCCGCGCGACTTGCACTTATGGGTGCCATCCTTCGCGGAACGTGAACAAATGCGCCCTTCTGGCAAACGCGGACTTCGGGAACCTCCTCCCGCACGTTCCCGTGCAATTATACGATTGCTAACTGCATGCCGTGAGCCCGACGCCATTGCAATCTGAGCAGACTACTTTTGCTCCCGTTGTCAGGTGTTCAGTCACCTGCGCGCTGCTCATGTTGCCCTGCCGCAGGAACCCCATGCTGCACGCCACGCACGCAAACTTACGCTGAAACCGCTGTGCCGCATCGACATAAAACAAACATTATCGACCCACGAACCCCGAAATTAACAAAACGTGTGAGGAATGGCAACGTTTTCAAGACACCTGCTTGGGCGACGGAAAATTGCAATGCTGACTGTATCGATCTTGATGTACCGTACCAAGGGTTGTGCTGTGCTGCACCGTGTTGAATTGCGATATGCCGCGTTTGTGCTCTATAGCAATGTGGATCGAGTCCTCGTTTGCATGCGAGTCCTGATCGAACTAATATGGATCTTAAGCTCGAGTTGTCTAAGCTCACAGTAGCTGCGCATGCGAACCCTGCCACTGGGGTCTTTGGTGGAGCTCCCTATGGGCCACGAAATGTGTGAGGGATGTGCCGAAATGCGCGCGCGGAGGGAAGAGGCAAAGATGGGAGGATGGAGGATGGAGGCCTCTTCAAAACAAGGGCCAAACACCACAAAATGGTTGGACAAATATACATGCTCTCCAAAACCAGCCGGGCAACCGTCCACGTGGCCCTGACCCATGACGAGATCGCCCGAACGAAACACAATGCATGCAAGGGGCCGGAGGATGTGGCGGATGCCTCAACCTGAGCCTGGGGAAGGGCCCAACCATATGCAGTTGTGGGCACCGTCGCTGTGAGTATTGCCGTCGGTGGATCTTCTTATGGAGCCACGAAGCGCGAGAAGGGTGTGCCGAAATGTGGCAGGACCGCCATGCGGCTGTTGCCACTCGTGCCTTCGGTGGAGCTCCACATGGGGCCACGACACGCGTGAGGGGTTCGCGGAAATGGCAGGTAAAACCGCATGCGGGCGCTGCCACTGGAGCGTTCGGTGAAGCCCCCTTTGGGGCCACGAAGCGTGTGTGAGGGGTGCACAGACATGTGGGTGGAACCACATACGAGCGCTGCCGCCGGGGCCGTCCATAGAGCTCCCAGTGGGGACACGAAGCGTGTGAGGGGTACATGCGCACGCTGCCCCTTGGGCCTTGGGTGGAGCTCCGTATGGGGCCACGAAACATGTGAGGGGTACACCGAAATTGAAGGTGGAACCGCAGGCGGGCGCTGCCCCTTGGGCCTTCGGTGGAGCTCCCTATGGGGCCACGGAGCGTGTGAGGGGTGCACCGACATGGGGGTGAAATTCCTTCCGGGCGCTGCCGTTGGGGACCTTGGTGGAGCTTCATATGGGGCCACGAAGCGTGTGAAGGGTGCACAGACATGGGGGTGGAACCGCATACGGGCGCTGCCGCTGGGGCCTTCGGTGGAGATCCATATGGGGCCACGAAACGTGCGAAGGATTCGCCGAAATGAAGGGTGGAACCGCATGCGGGCGCTGCCACTGGGGCCCTCGGAAAATCCCCCTATGGGACCACGAAGCGTATGGGGGGGGTGCCGAAATGGGGGGTGGAACTGCATGCGGGCACTGCCACTGGGGTCCTCGGTGGACCTCCCTTATGGGGCCACGAACCGTGTGAGGGGTGCATGCGCACGCTGCTCCTGAGGCCTTGGGTGGAGCTCCCTATTGGGGCCACGAAACGTGTGAGAGGTGCACCGAAATTGAATGTGGAACCGCAGGCGGGCGCTGCCCCTGGGGCCTTCGGTGGAGCTCCCTATGGGACCACGGAGCGTGTGAGGGGTGCACCGGCATGGGGGTGGAACTAAATGCGGCCCTGCCGCTGGGGCCTTTGGTGGAGCTCCCTATCGGCCCACGAAACATGTGAAGGATGTGCCGAAACGCGGGCGCGGAGGGAAGAGGCAAGTTCAAGGACAGGAGGACGGAGGATGGAAGCAATGATGGAGGTGGAGCTCCCTGTGGAGAAACGAAGCGTGTGAGGGGTGTGCCGAAATGGGGGGTGGAACTGCATGCGGGCGCTGCCACTGAGGCCTTCCGTGGGGCTCCCTATGGGGCCTCGAACGAAGCGTGTGAGGGGTGCACCGGAATGGGGGGTGGAACCGCAGGCGGGCGCTGCCACTGGGGCCCTCGGTGGAGCTCCCTATGGGACCAAGAAGTGTATGAGGGGTGTGCCGAAATGGAAGTCGAAGTGGAACTGCATGCGGGCGCTGCCACTGCGGCCGTTGGTGGAGCTCCCTCTGGGGCCAAGAATCGCTGTACGTAGCGCGGGGGGCAGAGGCAGGGATGGGTGGAGGGAGGGAGGGGCAGTGGGAGGAGGAACGCGGGGCGTTTTTTTCCCAACCATCCTGTGGTGTTGGGTCCTCGTTTTGAAGAGACGGTGCCCCGCGTCTCCTTCCTCCTTCCTCCTCCTCCTCCTCCCTCCTCCCCCTCTTCCCTGCGTTTCATCCACCCAGTACAGCGTTTCGTAGCCCCATAGGAGCTCCGCCGAAAGCCCCAGTGCTGCCGTCCGCATGCGTCCCGCACACCCATTTCGGCACACCCCTCACACGTTTCGTGGCCCCATAGGGAGCTCCACCGAAGGCCCCATGGCTGCCGTCCGCATGCGTCCCGCACACCCATTTCGGCACACCCCTCACACGTTTCGTGGCCCCACAGGGAGCTCCACCGAAGGCCCCATGGCTGCCGTCCGCATGCGTCCCGCACACCCATTTCGGCACACCCCTCACACGTTTCGTGGCCCCACAGGGAGCTCCACCGAAGGCCCCAGTGCTGCCGTCCGCATGCGTCCCGCACACCCATTTCGGCACACCCCTCACACGTTTCGTGGCCCCATAGGGAGCTCCACCGAAGGCCCCATGCTGCCGTCCGCATGCGTCCCGCACACCCATTTCGGCACACCCCTCACACGTTTCGTGGCCCCATGGGAGCTCCACCGAAGGCCCCATGGCTGCCGTCCGCATGCGTCCCGCACACCCATTTCGGCACACCCCTCACACGCGTGGCCCCATAGGGAGCTCCACCGAAGGCCCCATGGCTGCCGTCCGCATGCGTCCCGCACACCCATTTCGGCACACCCCTCACACGTTTCGTGGCTCCACCATTTTCGGCACACCCCTCACACGTTTCGTGGCCCCAAGGCTCCACCGAAGGCCCCAGTGCTGCCGTCCGCATGCGTCCCGCACACCCATTTCGGCACACCCCTCACACGTTTCGTGGCCCCATAGGGAGCTCCACCGAATGGCCCATGTGCTGCCGTGGCCGCTCCACCGAAGCAGTTTCGCACACCCCTCACACGTTTCGTGGCACCCATTTCGGCAGTTTCGTGGCCCCAGGGAGCTCCACCGAAGGCCCCATGGCTGCCGTCCGCATGCGTCCCGCACACCCATTTCGGCACACCCCTCACACGTTTCGTGGCCCCACAGGGAGCTCCACCGAAGGCCCCATGGCTGCCGTCCGCATGCGTCCCGCACACCCATTTCGGCACACCCCTCACACGTTTCGTGGCCCCACAGGGAGCTCCACCGAAGGCCCCAGTGCTGCCGTCCGCATGCGTCCCGCACACCCATTTCGGCACACCCCTCACACGTTTCGTGGCCCCACAGGGAGCTCCACCGAAGGCCCCAGTGCTGCCGTCCGCATGCGTCCCGCACACCCATTTCGGCACACCCCTCACACGTTTCGTGGCCCCATAGGGAGCTCCACCGAAGGCCCCATGGCTGCCGTCCGCATGCGTCCCGCACACCCATTTCGGCACACCCCTCACACGTTTCGTGGCCCCACAGGGAGCTCCACCGAAGGCCCCAGTGCTGCCGTCCGCATGCGTCCCGCACACCCATTTCGGCACACCCCTCACACGTTTCGTGGCCCCATAGGGAGCTCCACCGAAGGCCCCATGGCTGCCGTCCGCATGCGTCCCGCACACCCATTTCGGCACACCCCTCACACGTTTCGTGGCCCCACAGGGAGCTCCACCGAAGGCCCCAGTGCTGCCGTCCGCATGCGTCCCGCACACCAGGTGTGTGGCGTGCCGACATGGGCGTCGCGGCGCGCGGGCGCTGCCGTCGGGGTTCCCAGGGAAGCCCCCTGCAGAGGCGACGCTCAGAGTCACGAGTACCGAGAGTCACGCAGACCCAAACTGTTCACAGTCGTATACATACATTTACACTGGGCGTATCCATGCACGCATTCATGCGAATAGAATCAATCGCGCGCAGATTCATTCATAATCAGACTCGCTCGCGATCCGACTCGCACGCGCTCAAGCTTTCATATTCGGACCTATCGTCTTCGTTCGTGTTGTGTACACTGCCACGCATTTCGGCACACCCCTCATACGGCTCGTGGCCCCATAGGGAGCGCCACCGAAGAAGATATTCACAATTGCGGTACTCTCAACTGCATATGGTTGGGTCCTTCGCCAGGTTTTTTTGTTGTTTCTCATGTTTTGTTTTTTTGTTATATATATAATTTTTACTCTAACGAAACATACAAAAAAACGCACCACAACATGGCTGGGAAATCAAAAGAAGGGGGCCAAACGGTCATTCATTGTCCCTGGGTGCGTGGCGCTACGGGGATCCGTGGTGAGGATTCTGCTTGTTGCGTTGTTGTTTGTTGTCGTCGTCCCCCCTGCGACCCACCCCGCGACCCACCCCGCGACCCACCCTGCGACCCAACCCGTGACCCACCCAAGGACCCACACCGCGACCCACCCGCGACCCATGCGCGACCCACACCCACCCGCGTCCCACCCTGCGACCCACCACGCGCACCACCCTGCGACCCACCCCGCGACCCACCCCGCGACCCACCCCGCGACCCACTCCGCGACCCACCCCGCAACCCAACGACCCACCTGCGACCCATGCGCGACCCACACCGCGACCCACCCCGCGACCCACCTGCGACCCGTGCTCGACCCACCCGCGACCCCCCCCGCGATCCACACCGCGACCCACCCGCGACCCACCTCGCGATTCACCCACAATGGTTTAACGAAAAAATCGGGGCCTGCGGCGGGCTCGTGCATAATTTGTCAAAATTAGGCGCCTGCGGTGGGCTTCTCCGGAGCCTCGCAGAATGTGGACGTCCTCGCAGCCCCCTGACTCTTATCCGCAACTGCGGGGTGTTACGTATGGTATATTCTGCGTGCGAGCATTTGCGGAAATCATAGGACTACCAAATGGTTTGAGCGCTCTCGTCCAGATCCGGTGTTGTCGTTTCACCATGCGGTGCATCTGCGCTGATCCAGCATGCGCCCAGCGCACATATCCATTCCAACGTACACCATGCGGGACAGACGCGCGCGCGCCGCCACGCGCGAAGCAGACCATACATACATTATATATATATATATAAATAAATATATAAATATATATAGAGAGAGAGAGAGAGAGAGAAAGAGAAAGAGAGAGAGAGAGAGAGAGACAAAAAAAAAAAAGAGAGAGAGAGAGCGCGCGTGCGAAAGGCCAAGCATATTTCAAGCGAAAGACTGCCAGAGTTCTAGAATTTACGCGCGCGCACTTCCTCACCAACACCCTCATCGGCGACATCGCATCACCGCCGTCATCGCCATCACCAATCGCCGATATTGCCGCCATAATCAACACAATCACGTTCATCACCGGCACACGAATACCATCATCGACGTCGTCGTCACCAACATCGGCGCCGTAATTGGCCTTGCCGTCGTCATCCGCATTATGGCCACCCCCGTCGCTACTATCATCGTCGTTGCCGCCGTTGTCGACATCATCACGATGCGGCGCCTGCCCGAATCACCGACCTGCACTGAAGTGCCCGCCCACTAGCGCGGCCTGGGAAAATCAAATCGGTAAGCGCCATCACGGCCGCATCAGCTGTGCCAAAACAAGCTTGTCGTCCTGCGCGCGAGCGTTTGCGCGCAAGCGCGGCCGCACAGACGCGCAAGCAAGCGCCAATCGGCAACTGTAATCGTTGCCGCATGGGTTTTGCCAAACAAGTTGCGGGTGAGAGGTGGACGGATTGCGTGAGCAGTGGAGTTGGCAACTCATGAATTACCGAAAACATACACCACATAGATTCTCCTTTATACAAGATTAACAGATTCTACCCCCCCCCCGGACTTATCGGTTCCCCCTGGGATAATACGATTTCATATATATATATACATATATGTATATAGATGTACATATGTATATATATATATATATATATATATATATATATATATATATGCACGCTCGTCCATCCTAAATATGAAATCATACTATCCCAGCCAAGCCGGGGTCCCCCCCCTGAGGTTCCCTGGTAAAAACACTATGCGGTGACATCGGTTGCTCTAACATAAAACTTGTTTCGCAAATCCCTTGCACAAAAACTGTGACGAAGTGCACACGCGCGCGTCGTCGCGCGCGCATGCCGAAACTCTTCAAAAACCTTCGGTTCTGGAGAGATTTCAAAATTGAGTTCCCAAAACACATACAAAAAACATAAGGTTTCGCAACACTGATTTGCTAAAAAAAAGCTTACGCGCGAGCTCGTTGCGAAATCTTAGAAAACTACATGTTTTCAAGATTTCCACAAAATGCTACCAAACGGGTTTCGCGCGCGCATGTCAAAATCTGTCGAACGCCCTTGCGCGTGTGCCGTCGCGAGAATCCTCTGCAAAAAAAGGGACGAAGTGCAGACGCGCGCGAAGTCCCGCGCGTATGCCGAAATCCTTCCAAAACCTTCGGTTTCGGAAGGAATCCAAAATCGTGTGTCCAAAAAACCTACACAAACACAAGGTTTCGCAACACGGGTTTCCAACAAAAGCGTGCGCGCGCGCTCTTGCGTCGTCGTCGTCGTCGTCCTCCCTCTTCCCTCGTCGTCGTCGTCGTCGTCGCCGCCGTCGTCGTCTTCTGACTTTCCTCGTCGTCGTCGTCGTCGTCGTCGTCTTGGCGTCGTCGTCGCTTCCGTCGTCGTTGTCGCCGTGGTCGTCCTTCCTCCCTCGTCGTCTTCGTCGGCGTCTCGTCGTTGTCCCTCCTATTTCGTCGCCGTCGTCGTCGTCGTCGTCGTCGTCGGTCTTCACTGCTCCCTCGTCGTTATCCTCCTCCCTCGTCGTCGTCGTCGTCCGTCGTCGGCGTTTCGTCGTCGTCCCTCCTATTTCGTCGCCGTCGTCGTCGTCTTCGTCGTCGTCGTCGTCGTCTTGGCGTCGTCGTCGCTTCCGTCGTCGTTGTCGCCGTGGTCGTCCTTCCTCCCTCGTCGTCTTCGTCGGCGTCTCGTCGTTGTCCCTCCTATTTCGTCGCCGTCGTCGTCGTCGTCGTCGTCGTCTTCACTGCTCCCTCGTCGTTATCCTCCTCCCTCGTCGTCGTCGTCGTCCGTCGTCGGCGTTTCGTCGTCGTCCCTCCTATTTCGTCGCCGTCGTCGTCGTCTTCGTCGTCGCTGTCGTCGTCGTCGTCTTCGCTCCTCCCTCGTCGTTGTCGTCGTCGGCGTCGCCGTCCTTCCTCCTTCTTCGTCGTTCGCGTCGTCGCCGTCTTCCCTCCTCCATCGTCATTGTCGTCGTTGTCGCCGTCGCCGTTTTTTCTCCTCCCTCGTCGTCGTCGTCTTCATCGTCGTCGGTGTCGCCGTTGTCGCCGTCGTCGTCTTCGTCGTCGTCGTCGTCGGCGTCGTCGTCGTCTTCGTCGACGTCGGCGGTGTCGTCGTAGTCGGTGTCTGCGGCGCCGTCGTCGTCGCTGTCGCTGTCGTCGTCAGCGTCGGTGTCGTGGCCAAGTGCCATGTGGTACCTACCGTCACGGTCTTGTCTTAAGAAATCTTGCGACCAAGTTTCGGGTGGGAGGGTGGGATGTTTGCACGAGCAGTAGAGAGGACAGCGTCAAGACGGTCAAAGTGAGTTGCACCTCGTACCTTGCACCACACGAATTGCATAGCATAGTTGCACAGAATTGATTGTGCAGCAAACTTCACCACACAGATTCCCAAACAAAACGGGACGCCATACTAAGCTGAGGCCCTCCTTGTCGCCCCGCCCCCCTGCCCCCCCCCCCCCAACGCCCCTCCCCCAGGCTTCCCTCGCCGACCCCCGAAGACGCGCGCCAAACTCGATTGACCATTCGCGCGCCAGAGCAACCGGACAGACCGTGCCAGAATGACAGGGTGCCCAGGCTTCACCGGTTCAGCCCTGCTGAAAAACAAGACACGTGGGACGGCTTCCTGCCACTCGGTCCCCGCGCAGCGCCGCGTAGGTCCAGCTCCAGCTCGAGGCCAGATCGGCGATTAGGGCCCGCTCGAGGCAGCGCGGTCCAAAAACGGAGCGGCGGGAAGGAAAGTCTACGGCTGGCATGATCGCGGTAAGCACCACATCGACCACGATGCGCCGCCTGAGGTCGAACTCGAACGCCGGAGCCTGCCAGGGCCTCTCAGGACGCCCCTCCATTCCCCACGCACCCTCCTTCAAAGTCCCCGCCGCTGGTTGAGTGCGAAACCTCGCGAGCGCAAGGCCGCCAGTACAAAGGCGCAGGGAAAAAGGGGCAGAGGCAGCCCCGTAGGCACTCTCAGCACTCTCCAGGCACTCATCTGGCGACTCCTCGCGCGTTTTCTGCCTCCTCCTCTCTGCCTTCTCCCTCCTCTCCCTCTTCTCTTACTCCTCTCCCCCCTTACTCCTCCCTTCCTCCTCCCTCTCTTCCTCCTCTCTTCCTCCTTCCTCTCCTCATCATCTCTTCCTTCTGACTGCGCCCACCCCTCCCTCCCTCCTCTCTGCCTTCCAAGCCTATAACTCCACGGAGGGCGGGGAGGTGGCACGAGGTCGGGGAGCATGTCCAGAGGAGACTGGGACAGAGGTGGCAGAGCTCCTCCTACTCCTTCTCCTCCTCGGAAGGGACGAACGAAAATCAAGCATCTGGCGTTGTTGTTACCCATCGGTACACCTCGGCAGAAAAGACGCACGGCCGAATGCGCCCACGCAGTTCGTCTTGGTGCCGCAGGCAGCTGCACGCCAATCGAAATCCGCAGCGGAAGGTCAGATATAGGAAGGGAACGAGGCTTGCCCCTCTGACAACAAGCGCAAGCGAAACGCTCGGCCTTGACCGCCGCGCTGACAGCTTCCCAGAGAAGTTCCTAGGATACGGGGGGGAATGGAACAGCGAAGCGGAGGTGAAACGCGGCGGGACTGTCTTCATGTAACTCTTTCGTGTCAGACAGGCACCAATAGAACAAAGACACCGAGATATATGCAAGTATATGTACATACGTACACATGACTATAAACATGTACGCATATGTGTGGGTACATATGTATGTACGTAGGGATGTGAATACGTATGTATGGTAGTATGTAAGCGTGTATGTATTTATGATTTTTGTCCGAGCGAAGGGGCCGAACGGTCATTCATTGTCCCTGGGCGCGTGGCACTAATGGGGATCCGTGGTGAGGATGTTGCTTGTTGCGTTGTTGTTTGTTGTCGCCGCCTCCCCTGCGACCCACCCCACGACCCACCCGCGACCCACCCCGCGACCCACCCCGTGACCCAACCCGCGACCCACCCCGCGACCTACCCGCGACCCACCCGCGACCCACCCAACGATCCACCCCGCGACCCACCCGCGATCCACCATGCGACCCACCCCGCGACTCACCATGCGACCCATGCGCGACCCGCCCTGCAACCCCGCGCCCCACCCCGCGACCCACCCTGCGACCCATCCCGCGACCAACCCCGCGATCGACCCACCCCCCGACCGACCCGCGTCCCACCCGCGACCCATGCGCGACCCACCCCGCGACCCGCCCGCGACCCGGCCCGCGACCGACCCACGACCCACCCGCGACCCACCCCGCGATCCACCCACAATGCGTTAATGAAACAATGGGCGCCTGCGGCGGACGCACTGCATAATTTGCAAAAGTTGGGCGCCCACGGCGGGCTTCTCCAGAGCCTGGCAGACTGAGGACGTCCGCGCAACCCCCTGCACTCCTATCCGTATCTGCGGGGTGGTACGTATGTGTGTATGTAAGTATGTATGTGTGTACGTGCGTATGCATGCATGCATGTACGTATGCATGATTGAACGTATGTATGATGTGTTGATGTATGAATGTATGCATGGATGTATGCACGCATACACTCATGAATGCATGCATGCATGCATGTGTGCATGCATACACGCATGTTCGCATATGTGCATGTGTGAATGTATGTACGTAACACCCCGCAGTTCCAATTGAACCCATTGGAGCCATTCAACTGATTCAAACCCGGTTTCTATTGGGACCTAAATGACCAACTAAGGTCTGAGCAGATCCCAGACACATCGCATTCATATTAGATTAGTATGGGACTCTACCCAGGAGCGAATAGAACGGCGCAGATCCCAAATGCAGCGGATCTCAAATATATTCCGATTGGAATCGACCTACGTAGGTTCTACTTAGTTGAGCAGAACCCAGGACCCAAATTATGTCAAGTCGATTCCTAGTGGGTCGACTTAGAAACTAATTAGGATGGCGCAGATCCCATATCCAGAATATTCAGATTGTTTTCCCATTCGGCGACGGTTAAAGTCTAGTTGAATATATGGAGTACCCAGCCCTCAGCATCATAAAATGCAATCATGTCTGCTAGCAAAACATGCCGCTCAACGATGAAGTCAGCACGCGCTATTCCGATCTGGCCTGCCGCGTTCTGCAGATCCATAGACCATGGACATGGGCATCAGCATGGATGTCCCTGGCAAAAAGAGTACACATGCACATTCAGAAAGGTGGCCATCCCTCTGAAAAGTGTTTGTTGCGCCTCGGAGGCTGCAGCCATGCATGCAGTTGTCTTCACAAGGTCCACCAAAGACTTCACGTCCTGCTGGATGCGACCCACCATGTCGGCCAAACGCTGGATGTGCGCTTTGGCTGTTGCTGCAAATGCGCCGGGGACTAAATCCTCGAGCGTTGATTCATCCCTCGGCTTGCGATGCACGCTCCATGCCTTGCTCCAGCCCGTAGACTGACAATCCGCACGGCGCATCGCTTCCCATTCGCCCTGCAAGGTGGTACAGACTCGTCGCACGGAGTACTGCTGCCTTCGGGGCAGATGAAGGCGGACGCCGGCTCAGCGCCCGCATTCGGGACTTGGGCCGCCGACAGGCCGCCTACACAAGAGACGCGATCACGCGATGTATAAAGCAAGTTAATAGACTTGCCGCTGGAGTGCCGGTGACCGCGGTCTGCGACGTGAAAGTACAGGAGGGCGATCCAGATAAATCAGCATCGCATGGGCACCAACCTGGAGTGCAATGTCAATCGGGACGGCTGGATCGACGATGACCTTGACCTTCTCAACCATTGTCGTGGGTTTGATCCATACCGCGCAAAATGCCTGGGCACCATGGCCAAGCAAACCTTGAATAAAAGCCATCCGCGCGGAGACGACCATGGGCGAAGAGGGGAAGGGGCGGGGGCGGCGCGGCGAAAGTACACCGGAAAACCAACACAAAAGCAAATGCTTGAGCAAATCGGCCCATGCCCCCGAGATCATCTACGCCGTTGCGACCGAGGGCCTGGGCGATCTCAGCGATGCGCGCATCGCAAAGATCCCGCAGAACTGCCGCGCGAATTTCGCCGCGCGTCCCGCCCTGACGGTGCGCCTCGACCTCCCGCGCGGCCTTCGTGTCTCCATCGATGAAGGTCGCTTCCCTTGCGCGGAGGTGCAAAATGCCACCCCGCACGAAGACTACCGCGGTCGAACCGATCTCCGGCGGGACCCGCGGGGCCATGCTGTCCACCACCGAGAAAACGTCGCGCCTCATGGCCACCGCACGCACGCGCGCGGCGTCGTCTTCAAACAAAACGCGATGGACAGGTTTGTTAAATCACTCCGGTGGCCCACATAGCCGCCCAAGCCTCGACTCCTTCATGGCCGAACCTCTCGCGAAGGCGCGCGCGGACCTGTGCCCCTTGGTTCGCCGAGACAGCCTGCCGCACATCGGCTTCTGCTTGGAGCTCCGCATCTGACTTGATCCAATTCTCCCCTCGGCGAGCTCCGCGGCCATTGCTGCAGGAAGAAATATTGTCGCCGAAGATTGTTGCCCACGACCCACGGGTCGCGGCAGAAAGGGCTTGCGGCCCATAGCGGAGCCATCGAAACCGGCGTGCCAGGCATAGCTCCCTCCATGCCAAGCGCGCCCACGCAGCGCGTCGGGCATATGCCGCCCCCGCAAGCGCTGCACCCGAAAGTGGCTTCGCGGCCCTCGGGTCCGCGCGGGTACTCTTGAGCGCAAATCCCGCACTCCAGACCGCCTACGTCGTCGCCAACGGGACGCGCCCAGGGCGTTCCAAGAGCTTGGTGTGCCATCACAACGCCACCGACCTCACAAGAAGGTTCCGTGACCCCTCCACCGCGAGCACGCGCGCCGCCAGCCGTAGCCAGACGGACGACACGGGCATCCGCGAAAGCGTTGTCCGCCATATCTATAAATATATATATATATATATATGTGTGTGTGTGTGTGTGTGCTTGGGCTCGAAGCGCCGAAACGTCGGCGCTCGAGGCCTCATGCTGGTGCGTGAGCCCAGCGTAGAACGCCGGGCAAGACTCGGCGTTCGGGGCCCTTGGAAGGCAAGTCTAATTGAAATGCAGCAGATCTTCAATTGATTATAAGTTGAGTTCTAGTGGGATCGATTTAGACTTAACTTGGAGTTGGGCAAATCCCAGGTCCAGCTGAGCCCAAGGGGGATCCCGATGGAATCAGATTATATTATAATTGGCAGTGCACAAACCACAGGTCCAGCTGATTCCAAGTCATCCCTATTTACACGGAACTAGAAACTAGAGTCGAATTGGAATTGCGCAGATGCCAGATGCAGCTGATTCCACGTTGATGCCTATGGGCATCGAGTTGTAATATAAGTGTAACGGAGCAGATCCCACATACAACGGTTTCCAATCGGATCGCAATGGGGATCGAATTTACATGTAGTTCGAATTGGACAGACGGGACAATTCCCAAACCTGATTGGAACTGGGCAGGTCTCAGGTCCAGCTGATTACAATTGGGTCCCTGTTGGAATCTACATGAGAATCGATTTGGAACTGGGCAGATCCCAGATCAAGCTGGTTTCAATCATATTCCTATTGCACTCCAGTGATAATTTAACTTGAGTGAGCAGACCCCAAACCCAGCGCAGAAATGACGAACATGAAGGATGGATGAGCAGGCTCGAATGAAAAGAAGGCGGAGTACCAGTAAGAGAGTACACGTGGAGAGCGTGAAGGCCAATGCAAAAAGAATGGGTGCTGGGGGGGGGAAGGGGGCTGCGCGCACACACACACACATACACACGCATACATAGATATATGATGCTGTATAGATACACGCATGGATTCATGACCTGGGGCTCCACCTCCCCCTTCCATGCCCCCCGTCCCACCCCACCCCACCCACACCCCCGCTGGAAGGGTAAGCTCGTGAGCATCGCCAGGGCCTCACGAATGGGATCGCCCCCCACCCCCCCCCTGTGGTCGTGGCCCTGTGAGCGTGGCGTGCAGAGTGGTCGTTGTCGTCGTTGTTGTCGTCGTCGACGTCGGCTGCCGTCGGCATCGGCGTCGGCGTCGTCCCCCCCCATCCCATCTGGGGGGCGGGGGTATGTGAACCCCCTGGGGCTCACCCCATCTTCTGGGGGGGGGGGGCTGTGAACCCTCGAACCAGGAACGTATAAATAGAAATATGCATTTACATATACATATACATGAGCATACACATAGACATTTGAAGCTACCGATGCATATTAATATACTCATACACATATACACATACAATTACATACAAATGTACACATACCATACATGTCAACATACATATTCTTATGTATATATATGCATACGTGGACTATATATAGACATATATATATACAGATTCATATACATATACATATACATATACATATGTATATACAAATACATATACATATACATATACATATACATATGTCGGAGGTTGGGGGGTGATTCCGACATGAGACGGAGACCCCCCCTACCAGGAAATCGATTTCGGATTCGGGTTCGTGTCGTGCGTGCCGTGCGTGCGTGCGGGCGAGGCGAAACTGCGTGGGCGGGCGACAGGAAATCCCCCTGTGGCTAGGCCGCGGCCACAACAAATGTTTCTCCTCCGGCGGCCAGTGGCCCGCGGTGTCCCGCTGATGTCCCGCTGGTGTGGCGCTGGTGTCCCGAAGTCCTCCTGTGGCTGGGCCGCGGCCAGACCAAATGTTGCTCCTCCGGCGGCCGGTGGCCCGCGGTGTCCCACTGGTGTCCCACTGGTGTCCCGAAATCCTCCTGTGGCCCGGCCGCGGCCGGACCAAAAGTCCCTCCAACCGACAAACGGTGCCCCGCGGTGTCCCGCTAGTGTCCCACTGGTGTCCCGCCGTGGCTACGGCGAGCTATCCGATGCAAGTCTACATGCAAACCGACATGCAAACCGAAAAGCACATCGAAATGCAAATCGACATGCACATCCAAATGCAAGTCGTAAGGAGCCGTGGGTTGCGTATATCAAAAATCGGCGCCTGTGGGGAGCTTTCCAATGCAACTCGACATGCAAATCGAGATGCAGATCGAGAAGCAAATCGACATGCACATCGATATGCGCACCACAGGCATCGTCAGCACAGCAGTCACCACTGTTGCCCATTGCCGCCCCCCAAAACCTCCTTATCACCCGCAGGGTGGTCTTAGAGGTGTGTGTATATATGCATAGGCATAAGCATTTACACGTACATCTACATAAACATATTCATATACATGTATACATGCATGCACACATGCATGCATGACTATTTATTTATATATATATATATATATATATATATATATATATATGCATATGCATGCGTGTATGCATACATGCATTGCATACAGGCGTACACATGATAACATTTCGTACTTATACGGTATACACTATACCCATCTATAGTATATGAACATGTGATGGCACAAACTGATCCCGTATGCGATTGACAAATCAACTGCGTGATATCCGAAACCGCAATCATTGCCAATGTGATGTCACATGTCGAACCTGCAGGCCCGCGCTTGCAAATACATCATCGCTGGCAACGCCCTCGTTCTCACATTGGTCTTTCCCGTACGTGAAAACATGGACATCAATTTGCAACCCGAAACCTTCGAACGTACAACATTCATGCCGCGTGACCACCCCCGCCCCGGGGCGTCCTCGTCCTGGCCGCCCTGCTGGCCGCCCCAGGAATTTGAGGCTTGCTGGGCGGGGGGGGGGGAGGAGGGAGGGGGGGAAGGAGGCAGGGAGGACACGGGATGAGGGAGGCGAAGGAAGAGTGAGTGAGTGAGGGAGGGCGGCTGGAGGAGAGAGGAGCCGCGATGAGGGTAAAGAGGAGGTGGCCGAGCGATGCCCATTGCGCCCTGCACTACATCAGCGCTGTCCCGACAAAGCATTGCAATATCAAGAGATGTACGATGTCATCTTGGAGAGGGCTAATCCCCAACATTGCCCCAGTTTCGAGCCATGTTGCCGCAGCCGCCTTCCAGGAGGGGAGAAAGGGGATGGGGGTGGATGTAAGAGAATAGCGCATAATCTGATTCGAACCCCAGGCCCGTCCAGAATCGATGATTGGTCAGGTTGGAGCCCGAGATGGGTCTGGGAAAGATTCTTGACCCGCACTTCGCTGGTGGAGTGATGAAGGTGCGAGATGGGGGAAGGGGGAGGCACGGAGGAGGGGCGGTGGGAGGAGGGAGGCGAGGGAGGCATCGCAAACAGGCAGCACGCACGGCAATCCAGCGGCCTGGGCGGCGCGAGCCAGGCAGAGCATCGAAACACATGCACAACCCAGAGCTCCGCCGCAGAGTCGCCGAAATATCGCCCTAACACTCCCAAGATGGCCTCCAGACGGCCCCAAAGGCTTCCAACACGACCCAAGGGGTCTCCCCTAGAGCACTCCCAATGGGGCCCCAAGAGGCAAACATCATCGATTGTCTTTGGTGCTTGATGGATTGTCGCGTCTCTCCCTTTTCGGCCCCCCGTTGCTCCACGACGGTCCCGGAAGCCCCAAGCATCGTCCCAACACGGCCTCAGGGGCCCCACCGAGGGCGCCGAGACTGCCCAAGAGGCCCCTTCCCCCGGGGTCGGCGTCTCGTCCCCTGGGGGCGCGTGGGGTGGGGTGGGGTGCGCGTCGTGGCCCGAAGCATCTGCGGCTGCGGGGACGCAGAGGGGCTGCCAGGCAACGTCTGAAGAGAAGGAAAGTAAGACGAACAAAGAGAACATGCGGAGAGACATGAACACAATAGAATCAAAACAGAAAGATAAAACGAGAAATGATACATCAAACTAGGGCTCCGAAGAAGACTAGTGATAATTACGCTACCGAGGAACCCCACATTATTATTTTATATGCTGTGTGCACCACACTACCACTACCACCGCCACCACCACGAGCCAGACGAGCCAGCTAGCCCAACCAATCAGACTAAGTTGACCAACCAGACTAGACTACATACGCAGAACGACCGTTCCAAGACGTCGGCGTCGTCGTCCTTGTTCTCGTCGTCGTCGTATTAGTCGTACTAGTCGTCGTACTCATCGTCGTCATCGTCGTACTCGTCGTCGTATTCGCCGTCGTCCTCGTCGTCGCATTTGTCGTCGTACTCGTCGTCGCCGTAGGCGCCGACTCCATCGCACCCCCTGTGGCGTCGACGAAATGCCACTCCTGCTAGGCCCTGCGACATTGGCGCGTATAGAGACCGCGGTGGGCCCCCACCCCCAGCGCACCCCCTGTGGCGTCGAAGAAGTGCCACGCCTGCTACGCCCTGCGACATTGGCGCGTATAGAGACCGCGGTGGGCCCCCACCCCCAGCGCACCCCCTGTGGCGTCGAGGAAACGCCACGCCTGCTAGGCCCTGCGACATTGGCGCGCATAGAGACCGCGGTGGGCCCCCACCCCCAGCGCACCCCCTGTGGCGTCGAGGAAATGCCACTACTGCTAGGCCCTGCGACATTGGCGCGTATAGAGACCGCGGTGGGCCCCCACCCCCAGCGCACCCCCTGTGGCGTCGAAGAAGTGCCACGCCTGCTACGCCCTGCGACATTGGCGCGTATAGAGACCGCGGTGGGCCCCCACCCCCAGCGCACCCCCTGTGGCGTCGAGGAAACGCCACGCCTGCTAGGCCCTGCGACATTGGCGCGCATAGAGACCGCGGTGGGCCCCCACCCCCAGCGCACCCCCTGTGGCGTCGAGGAAATGCCACTACTGCTAGGCCCTGCGACATTGGCGCGTATAGAGACCGCGGTGGGCCCCCACCCCCAGCGCACCCCATGTGGCGTCGAGGAAATGCCACGCCTGTTAGGCCCTGCGACATTGGCGCGTATAGAGACCGCGGTGGGCCCCCACCCCCAGCGCACCCCTGTGGCGTCGAGGAAATGCCACGCCTGCTAGGCCCTGCGACATTGGCGCGTATAGAGACCGCGGTGGGCCCCCACCCCCAGCGCACCCCCTGGCGAGGAAATGCCACGCCTGCTAGGCCCTGCGACATTGGCGCGTATAGAGACCGCGGTGGGCCCCCACCCCCAGCGCATCCGCTGTGGCGTCGAGGAAATGCCACTGCTAGGCACGCTTGACTGCTAGACATTGGCGCGTATAGAGACCGCGGTGGGCCCCCACCCCCAGCGCACCCCCTGTGGCGTCGAGGAAATGCCACTCCTGCTAGGCCCTGCGACATTGGCGCGTATAGAGACCGCGGTGGGCCCCCACCCCCAGCGCACCCCCTGTGGCGTCGAGGAAATGCCACGCCTGCTAGGCCCTGCGACATTGGCGCGTATAGAGACCGCGGTGGGCCCCCACCCCCAGCGCACCCCCTGTGGCGTCGAAGAAGTGCCACGCCTGCTAGGCCCTGCGACATTGGCGCGTATAGAGACCGCGGTGGGCCCCCACCCCCAGCGCACCCCCTTTGGCGTCGAGGAAATGCCACGCCTGCTAGGCCCTGCGACATTGGCGCGTATAGACACCGCGGTGGGCTCCCACCCCCAGCGCACCCCCTGTGGCGTCGAGGAAATGCCACTCCTGCTAGGCCCTGCGACATTGGCGCGTATAGAGACCGCGGTGGGCCCCCACCCCCAGCGCCCGCCTGCCGACACCCGGGCAGCCGCGACCGCCTACGACAAGGCCTTGCCCAAGGTCTACGAGGAGCTCGCGCGCCTGGACCCCCTGCAAGCCGCACAGCGGGCGCAGTGTCGCCTGCCGCTGCGACGGGGCGGCTGGGGCCTCCGGAGCCAAGCGGCGCTGGCACCCGCGGCGTGGGCGGCCTCCTGGGCGCAAAGCCTGGCGGGGGCCTGGGCTCAGACAAGCTTTTAAAAGCTGGATGACTTGGAAACCGGCCAGCCGCCCCTGGCGGCTGCTTGCCGGGCGGCGCTGGCCGAACTGCTGCTTGAGGAGGAGGAGAGACGCCGGCAGCTGCCGCCCTGGGGGCTGCTTGCGCGGGAACCTCGACAGAAACTCCAAGAGGCGCTCATCAAAGGTAGACAGAAACAACCACAAAACCTTGCTGAGCGCCCTCGGAGCTGAAGAACGAGCACTCCTGCGCTCCTGCGGGGGGCCCTACGCGGCGGGCTGGCATCTGGCCAACGGCGGCCCGCGCCAAAGGCTCGAGGACGACGCCTACTGCGCCACTGCGCGGGCGCTGCTCGACCAGGACAGCGCGCTAGCCGGGGCCCGCTGCTAGCCGGGGCCCGCTGCTGCAACTGCTTCAGGACTGGCCCAAGGGCGGTGCAACTCTGCGGGCAGCCACTTTGCCGCCAGGCGCGCCACGCCTGCCGCTGCTCTTGCGGAGGCGGCCCGATCCAGGTGGAGCGGGAGGAGGCGCTAGGCGCTCCTCGACCTGGAGGCGCAGCGCGGGGGCTGCCCCCGGCTGTATGCGGACGTGCCCGTCCGCTACAGCGTCCCCGGGGACGCGCGCGCCCTGGCAGCCGCGGCGGACGTCGCCGTCAACGCCAACGCCGACGCAGACAAGCGGCGCCGCTACCCAGCGGGCCGCGCGCCTTGGCCACTATTGCCGCTGGCGCTGGAGACCGGCGGCCGCCACGGCAAGGTGGCACTTCAGCAGCTGCAACGGATGGCGCGGGACCAAACGCAGCGCCTCGGCGACGGCCCCTCTGCGGCGGCGGCCGCCAGCGTGCTGACTCGGCGGTGGGGCGCCGAGCGCAGCGTGTCGTTCCACCGGGCCACCGCCCGGCAACTCTGCACAGCCGTGGGCGGCGAGAGCCGGGCGGCGGGGGCGGCCCGGCTGGCCGCGGAGCTCGCCGGCTGAGCCGGTGAGCAGGCGCGCCAGCGGGCGACCGGCGCTGGGCTGGCCAGGAGGGGTCGGGGCTCTACACCATCGTCGCGGCGCTCGTGGAGTTCAGAGTAGTGGGGGGCGAAGAGAAGCCCTTCGGACCGAGGAGGAGGAGGAGGACGAAGATAAGGACGAGGACGAGGGAGGATGCGGGAGGCAGAGAAGGATGTGGCACACACTTGCGCAAGAACTTGTGCACCGCATCAGACATGGCAGCATAAGACGGACGAGGATCTGCGAGTGGAGGAGCGAAAACGACGACCACCACCACCAAAACAATGGGCCGGGAACAAACGGACAATGATACCGCTACTCCCCGGAGAATGCTTCGAGAATCCAGCCGTGGCGACGAGGCCTCTCCAGCACGAGCAGCGGTATCGGGATCTTTTCCCCATCTGAACGGCGGCGGCAGCGAAAGCCGCCTTGCCGCCCTTCCAGCCATCACGGCCGCCGCTGGGCGGAGCCTGCCACCCCGCGCCGCCGCTGGGCCGCCCGCCAGCAGCCTTCCCTCCGGCCTGCGGGGCAGGACCCGCTTGTCACGATGGTGGGGAAGTGGAGGGCTTGACTCTCACAAGGCCCAGATATCCGAAGATATGATCTGCTCAATCCTGGTGCTTTTCCTTGATTCGGACTCGGGGGCCCATTGTCGAGACCCAGGTCCGTCAGGAAAGGATCTGGGACGAACGCCCTACCCTTGGGAAGGGGCCGCGCTTCGAACGAACACATCACCAAGTGTCTAAGGAATTTGGGCTGCCGCTTCCTTGTCTTCGGGAATCGGCTGTAGTTGCTGATTGGCCCCGTCGCCTCACGAAGCGGCGTCGATCATGAATTGCCAAGAGTTTGCTGTGCAACCAGGGTCGAGGGGGACGAAAGGGTAGGATAGCAAAAGGCAGCGTAGAGAATCAGCTCACGCAGCTGGCTCTCCTTGCGTCTCCTGGCGCTGGGAGGCGCCCATGTGTCGACGCATGAGCCCGGCGGCGAAGCTGAAACCGGCTGCCTGCAGCAGATCTGGCAACCCTCCCATTCTTGAGCAGGGACCGCACTGGCACTCTCATAAGCCTACCACGGCATGCTGTTTAAACGCAAGAATATGCAAACATATATTCGGCTTCGAGCGGTCCCTACCGAAACCTTCAGCGTTTGCTCCCGACGGCGCGCCGTCGCCTAATTGGTGGAACGCTGCGCGCAGGGACTGGTGGTCTCAGCCAGTGCGGCGGTCGGGCGGGATGGCGAACTCCGTAGTCTCCAGATCCAAGAAACCCAGAGCTCATGACGAAAAAAGCCGAGGGGCGCAAACAGAAATTTCGGAAACGAGCGGTGCAAAACGAATAGAGAGCCGCAACCTGATGTGTCACATCATGCTCTGTTATGCCATGTTGTGTTATGTCGGGATCGTCGTCGCTTTGCTCTGCTGTCGCTATTTTGTCAAGGCGTGCTATGGTATGCTTGGATAGGTTCTATGTCGTTGTATTGTCGTAGTATGTTATGTCGTGTACTGCTCTGGTATGTTTTGTGGTGTTATTTGATGACGTACGTTGTCGTCATGGTATTGCTATGGTATGTCATGTGGTGTCATTATCTGCTCCGTTCTGCCATTGTCTGTTCTGCCATGTTGTCTTATATCGTGTTCGTCGTTGCTATGCTCTGCTGTCCTGTTATGCCAGGTTATGCGATGATGTGGCATAATGTGTTATTTTCTGGCACGGTGTGCAATGTTATGCTAGATGTGTCCTATGTTGTCGTAGTATGTGTTGTTGCATGTTATGTCGTACCATAGCCTGGCATGCTATGTGATGGTATGATTGCTCACGGCCCTGCTGTGTATAGTGCAGCATGACCTGCTCTGCTAGTATGTGTCGCTATGCCCTGCTGTCATGTTAAGACATATGGTATGTAAAGCTGTGTCATGGTATGGTATGACATGTCAATGTGTGTTATGCTATGCTCGGATATATTATGCTATACTATGGTATGCCGTCTTGTGTCATGACATGGTCTTCTTTGGTATGTTATGTGCTGTCAGGTGATGAACGATTGTGCCATGGCATTGCTATGTTATGCTCTGCCCTGTTCAAAGCATGCTCGTGTTCTCTTCTGCCATGTTCGATTGGGTCATGTTATGTTCTGCCGTGTCCGTCCTCGCTACGCTCTGCGGTCGTGTTATGGCAACTGATGGTTTGTGATGTGATGCAGTGTCATGGGTTGGCATGTTCTGCCAAGGTGTGCCAGGTTATGCCCGGATGTGTTATGCTATGTTGTGTTATGTCGTCTTATGCTATGACACGTCATGCTATGGTAGGTTCTGCGATGTCCTGTAATGATATATTGTGGTATGGCACTGCTATGTTATGTGTTGCCATGGTCTATCATGCTCGTATCGTGGTCTATCATGTTATGGTGTGTCATGTTGTGTGTGTATCGTGTTCGTCGTCGCTATGTCTCGCTGTAGTTTCAAGTTATGGTCTATGGTGCTGTGGTATGCCATGGCATGTTTTGCCAGGGCGTGTTGTTATGATCGGTTGTGTTATAGAATGTTGTGTTATGTCGCCGTATGTTATGTCATGTCCAGCCCTGGTATGCTCTGTGGTGTGATTCCCCTATCGGAGCTTGCCTCTGTAGGGGTCCTAGCGGATTCATATGGTTACGTGAGGTGTGTCACCGATTTCCGCGGCCCGCCCTGGTGCTCGGGTGCCTTACAGGCCTACAGCCCTATCGCCCTATAGCCTTACAGCCCTGCAGCCCCATAGCCTAATAGCCCCATAGCCTAATAGCCCTGTGGCCCTATAGCCCAATAGCCATATAGCCTTATAGCAGTATAACCCTATCGCCCTAGAGCCCCATAGCTCTATAGTCCTAAAGCCTTATAGCCCTATAGCCTTGTAGCCGGATAGCCTCATAGCCTAATAGCTCTGTATGCCTATAGTCCTATAGCCTTATAGCCCTATAGCCCTGTAGTCCTATACCACTATATGCCTATAGCCCTATAGCCCTATAGCCTCATAGCTCTATATCCCTATAGCCCTATGGCCCCATGGCCCTATAGACTCCTAGCCCTATGCGCCGATGGCCCCATAGCCCTACAATCCTGTAACCCTATGGCCGTATAGCCCTGCAGCCATACAACCCTATAGACCCATTGCCCTATGGCCCTATATTTCCATAGCCCTAGAGAGCCCCATAGCCCATCGTCCTATGGCCCCGTAGCCCTAAAAAAACTTTGATTGGTTTTGTCCCTCGTACCATGTTATGATCGACTTTGCAATGATAGTAATTGAAGATCAGGGGGCGAATCGCCCCCTGCGATGCTCACTATGTGTTGGGTTGTCCTTCTGGTGGGTCGTGCATGATACTTCTTGGTTGGTGCGTGTGTATGCAACTTCCGACCAACCAAGAAACATAACACCCGTGTCTTCCATGTCCTCGCACTGCGCTTTCCGCGACGATCGGACAATGTTGTTTTGTGGCGGGGCGGGCTGATCGCCAAGGCGCATTGACCTCGAACGAATGCTGCGCTGAGTTCGATTGGCCACGTAAACGCGGCAACCAGATAAACTTATCTGGGCGAAGGACCCAACTTTATGCAGGTGTGAGTACCGCAAATCAGCTGGGACGGAGAAGGAAGAATTCCTTACGGGGCCTTCGGTGGAGGTCCCCGTGGGGCCACGAACTGTGTGACGGGTGTGCCAAAATGGGCGGCGTCCCCCGAATGCGGCCTGTGCCACTGGGGCCTTCGGTGGAACTACCTGTGGGGCCACGAGCCGTGTGAGGGGTGCCTAAATGGGCGGCGGTCCCCTCCCCGCATGCGGCCTGTGCCATTGGGGCCTTCGGTGGAGCTCCCTGTGGGGGCACGAACCGTGTGATGGGTGTGCCAAAATGGGCGGCGGTCCCCGCATGCGGCCTGTGACATTAGGGACTCCGGTTGAAATCCCAATAGGGCCACGAACCGTGTGAGGGGTGTGCCAAAATGGGTGGCGGTCCCCGCATGCAACCTGTGCCACTGGGGCCTTCGGTGGAGCTCCCTGTGGGGCCGCGAACCGTGTGAAGGGCGTGCCAAAATGGATCGCGGTCCCCGCATGCGGCCTGTGCCACTGGGGCCTTCGGTTGAAATCCCTGTGGGGCCACGAGCCGTGTGATGGGTGTGCCCAAATGGGTGGCGGTCCCCGCATGCGGCCTGTGCCACTGAGGTTTTCGGTGGAACTCCCTGTGGGGCCACGAAAAGTGTGAGGGGTGTTCCAAAATGGATGGCCGTCCCCGCATGCGGCCTGTGCCACTGGGGCCTTCGGTGGAGCTCCCAGTGGGGACACGAACCGTGTGACGGGTGTGACAAAATGGGTAGCGGTCCCCGCATGCGGCCTGTGCCACTGGGGCCTTCGGTGGAGCTACTTATGGGGCCACGAACCATGTGAGGGGTGTGCCCAAATGGGTGGCGGTCCCGCATGCGGCCTGTGCCACTGGGGCCTTCGGTGGGGCCCTCAGTGGGGCCACGAACCATGTGAGGGGTGTGCCAAAAAGGGTGGCGGTCCCGCGTGCGGCCTGTGCCACTGGGGCTTTTGGTGGGGCCCCCTGTGGGGCCACGAACCATGTGAGGGGTGTGCCAAAGTGGGTGGCGGCCCCCGCATTCGGTTGTGCCAAAACAACTCAGGCTCGCCCCGACACCATTCCTGGCACATCACCAGTACCGCGCGGAGGAGGGAGGAGGAGGTGACGCGGGGCGCTGTCCCTTCAAAGCGAGGACGCAACACAACAGGATGATTTGGGAAAAACCTGCTGGCCGCGCTGCTGACCGCGCGATTAAGCACAGATGCGTAAGTGTTCTCTACAGGGCCCGCGGGTTACAACGAAGCTCGGCGGCCAGGTAATGGTATACGTCGCCGATGATTGGTCTAAGCCCCAGCATGGCCTAGGCGTAAGCCTCAGCCCCAGCCTCAGCCTAGCCGGAGTCTCAGCCTGAACATTGCCTAAGCCTGGCCTGAACTTCAAGCTAAGCCTGAACACCAGCCCCCGCCGAGCACGAACATCAATCTGCGCCAGCCAAGCCTGTACCCCAGCCTAGCCTAAGACCAGCCCAAGACTCAGTCTAGCCTGAGTCTAAGCCTCATTCTAAGCCTCAGCCCCAGTCGTACCTAAGTCCCAGCCTCGGCATCAGCCTCATCCCCAGCCTCAGCCTAGCCGGAGCTTCAGCCTGAACACTGCCTCAGCCTGGCCTAAACCTCAAGCTAAGCCTAAACACCAGCCCCCGCCGAGCATAAACAACAACCTGCGCCAGCCAAACCTGTACCCCAGCCTCGCCTAAGACCAGCCTAGGGCTCAATCGATCCTGGGTCTAAGCCTCACTCTAAGCCTCAACCCCAGTCTGAGGTTTCAGCCTAGGCTTCGGCGTCGGCCTGGCCTCAGCCTCAGCCTGAGCCCCAGCCAAAGCCTAGCCTGAGCCTCAGCCGTACTACCGCTACTACACAACTAGTGTACTACTACAACGACATTGCTACAAGAGTACCACTAACATTACAATGCGGTA